TTTTTAAAATTAATTACTTAAATTTTAATTAAGTTAATATTAGGATAGACCCATCAGGTATTACCATCATAGTCCACCCACCACCCTACTCATCTGTCTTCCACCAATAGAGACCATTGTGCTTCTTAATCTCTTTGTTCTTGCCTTTCATCACCCTTCTCGCCTTCCCCATCCCCTTGGTGCCTTAGTTTTGTAGTTGCTCAGGGGTTAGTTTTTAAGCTTGTCTTTATCTATTAGTTATTTTATGTTCCACATATTTATCTTTCTCCTTTTACTTATTTCACTTAGCATTATACCTTCAAGCTCTATCCATCCTGCCACAAGTGGCTTGAGATTATCTTTTTGATTACTGAATAGTATTCCATTATATATATATTATGTATTTTATGATTTAATTTAATTATATATATTTTACATCATCTTTCCATTTTGTACAATTTATGCATTCTCCTGTCATGTTTAGTCTTTGCAAAATTCCCATCACCATTTCACCTGTGTACCATCACCATAGTCCCTTGTATAAAAACACATTCCCTCCCTTGTTTTGATCCCTCCTCTTCTCCCTCTCCTGCAGATTGTCTCTGATTAGTAATTGCCTGTTTGTTTTTTTAATTTATTACAATTTTTTGTCCTAGTCCCTTGTTTGGTTTCCCTACATTCTTCCTGTAATTGAAACCATTTGATATTTTTTTCCCTCTGACTTATTTCACTGAGCATAATCCCTTCCAGCTCTATTCACATGTCTGTGAAGGGCATGAGCTTATCTTTTTTGATTGATGAATAGTATTCCACTGTGTGTATATACCACATCTGCTTGATCTAGTCATCTATTTATGGGCATTTGGGTTGTTTTCATATCTTACATGCTTTAAGTGATGTAGCAGTCCTTTTGGATTAATGTTTCTATGTCCTTTGAGTAGATTCCTAAGAGTGGAATTGCTGGTTCATGTGGAAGCTCCATTTTTAGTAGTTTGAAGAACCCCCATACAGCTTTCTATAGTAGTTGGACCAGTTTGCATTCTTGCCACCAGTGTGGAAGAGTCCTTTTTCTACATATCCTGCCTGCCTACGTTTGTCATTTCCTGTTTTTTTTAATATGTGCCATTCTCTTTGGACAAGTGTCTTTTTTGCTCTTCTTCCCATTGTTTTGATTGGATTGTCTATTTTGCTTTTGTTGAGTTGTGTGAGCTCTTTGTAGATATTTGTGATCAGTCCCTATCAGTAGTACTGTACTCAAAAACTTCTTCCCAGTCAGTAGGGTATCTCTGTTTTGGTTAATGTCTCTTTTATGGTCTAGAAACTTTTTAATTTGATGTAGTATTATTTAATTTGATGAACAGTTAGCTGTTCATTTTTTTCTTTCACTTTTTTCCCTTTGGGAGATGTGTCTTTATAGGTGTTACTGAGATGTGTGTCATGTAATGTTTTGCCTATATTTTCTTCTATATATTTTGTACACTACATCTTGATACACTCCTTTGTCCTGGGGCAATTAGGTTCTTTCCGTAACTTAGTTATAGTAAACTGTTTCCTTTTTATTTCTAGTTAGTGTTTTTGAATTTTTGGCAATAGATGCCTAGGAGTGGGATTACAAGGTCAAATGGCAGATCCACTTTTAGAGTTTTGAGACACCTCCATAATGCTATTCATAGTGGCTGGAATAGCTTGCATTCTCACCACCAGTTTAGGAAGGTTCTCTTTTCTCCATATCCTTGCCAGCACTTGTTCCTTCTGGTCTTTTTGATATGGGCCATTCTCATAGATGTGAAATGGTCATTGTAGACTTGATTTGTATTTAATAAGTGTTGTAAACATTTTTTCATGTGCCTGCTAGTCATTCAGATCTTTTTAAAAAATGTACAAGTCTATACTCTTAAAATTATTTCTTGTTTAGATTTTGGTGATGAGGTAGCTTTGATTATTGATGTTATTTTATTTTCCAATTATTTTATAATAAAATGTCACAGAATGTGAAACTGATCTACATTCATTTATATTAAATGTAATTTTTATTTTGACTATTTAGTATTCTTATAGAGTAATAGTTAAATCCAATCTAGCTTGATTTTAATGCTTTTAGGTATCCGTAAAAATCAAAATTATTCCTTCTTGTATTAATTTAAATATTTTAATTTTAACATGGTCCTTTTTCTAAGGTTGTTATTCTAACTTGTCTTATAAAAATCTTGGGTAATAAGAAATGTATTTCCATTTCATATATTGTCAAACACCCTCTCCCCACAAAAAGAATTTTAGCAATAATGTTTTTGCTGAAGGGCTTTTCAAGAGGGAGGCAAGAGTAGGGCTTCTGCTGTTTAGAAATCACTTCTATTAAATCTAGAATAATTTTCTGAATATTTCCTGACTGGCACTCATCAGAGATAAGGAAGTGTGTTAAAAATGGCAGATTAGACTAACCAATCATTCTACTTATTTCTTGTGATGATTTCTCCGAGACCATATATGATGTTAAATATTGCCTCAAATTTATCTTAGAACATAGATGTTAATTTGAAATCTTGTTTATACAGTTAAAATGTATCACGTTCAGCAGTTTACTGTGGGTGTGGCAGGCATTAGATTAATAATGACAACTTCTGTTAATCAAAATATGACTGTATTTTTGAGAGTGAAAATAGTAGCTCTGTCACTTAAATTTATGAAGACTTAGTTGAGTTTTAATAATTAATAAGTTTTTCTGTCAATGAGCATTAGATTACTACTGTAATAGTAGTAATCTATTTTTTTTACTGTCACTAGTACAGAGCACCTTTTGGTAGTTTCTTTACAAGGCTTAAAGGTGCATCCCAGGTTTTTTTTTTTCTTCTTCTGACCATAGGAAATAATCTTTATAAATGTCATAAAGAGAATACCTCTAGAAGTTCATATATGGCATTAATGTGTTATAAGGATCGGTCAGTTTCATTGTCTTCTTTTGTCAATCTTGATCTGAGCTTGCCGAGTAAGTCTATAAGCCTGCATGTGCCTGGCAACTGTTACCTAGTGACAGTTTCAGCTGCAGTAGCCATTGGCTGTGCTGTTGATTGGGGCAGGAGGACCGAGTCACCTTTCTGATGGTGAGTTCTGCATCAGCTCAGGATGAGGAGGAGGAGCAGGGCTCAAGCTCAGGTGAAGACAGTGAGATTGAAAGATTGTGAAGAAAATACCGGCAGCATCGTGGTAACTGCATCACAGTAAATTGGACTTCTGAATCAAGCAGCTCAACCTAGCAGCTGGTAAAAGTGAATGTAGGTGAGAAGCATTGCCTATTCCTGTAACAAGAGAACTATTTTGTGATAAGTGAAACTAGAAATGTGCAAGGAGGAATACCCTGTGGCTATTACAAAAGAAGAAGGACTTCCCTGAATGACTTGGTGGTGCACCAGAAAATAACTTTCAGAAGAATGCTTTCTATTAAACTGCTGCATTGTTCCTGAAGGAAATTTGATTTTTTTTATTTCTAGTGCATGTTATTTCTTCAAAAGGTATGACAACAAAGACTGTCAAGGGACTCTTTGAAATGCCTGTACTTTACAAAAGACTTTTGACAAATGTTAACCGAGTATCAGAATGACCTTGGAAGCCTTTTGAATGGATTCTATTCTGCCAGCCTTTCACTATTTCAAACTGTAGGATTTAAACTCACCTTGATTCTTTAGAGGTATTTCAAAACAAGACCATATTATAACCTACCTAATGGCCCCTATATTAATTGAGCACTTGCTCAAAATAGAATACAGAAATAGAAGAAGCATTCTCTTAACTTATGACTGCTACATAACTGCTAATATAGCAAACAAGGTAATTTTCCACTTTCAGAAGATTTAGTTGAAATAATGATTTAATGCATTAGTCATCTAATGAAAATAGAAATGGTATAGAAACAGAATATGAGGCCAACTGGAAATACTTAAAATAATAGCAGCGTTTCTAATCAAATAAGCTTAGCATATAGAGCAAAGTTATTATTGTCTGAATTTCATATGTATTTATGTGTACATGTGAGATGTAGGTGTGGTTGAAAAGATGAGAGATAACTTTGAGCTATATATTTTATAATCATGCTCCAGTATAAGAAAGGTTGCATGCCAGATGATGGTAGTCATTTTCAGTTATTGATGCTAAAATAAATGGCAAAGTTTATTTTCCTTTTGGGAAAAAGTATAAATTAAATAACATAGTGTAATTGTAATGGACTAAGACTATTTTATCTGAATGCTTTTAAAAATGCATGCAGAATTAAAACTTCAGATATTTGTCATATTTTGTCAGGTGTTAACCCATTGCGTATTATCTTCCATACTGGAAATGTGTTTTCTTTCTCATGAGACTTAGAGCAATCTGGAGTCTGTTACCTCTGTTCTGCTCCTTTGTGCCCAAGTAAAGATGAGTCTTTTGGAATTAGTCTTGATAAAGGGGGTGGTGGGAGCTTCTTAGTGTTTTAAACAAATAAATCATAAAATTGCCTCACCAGCATCAAACCCTGAACTGAGCCCAAAAACACTGTCAAAATGAACTTTTTCTCAGCTTTCCAGCCAAATCTGAGATCTTAATTATTTAAATTTCAAAATGTGAATCCACTTCTCATGATAGAGGAAACAAAAAGCCTGAGACAATTTAAGTCTTTCTTTTTTCATCCTTTCTAGTTGATCCCTAAGAAACTACCTTCTGAGAACAGCCAGCCCAAAGAAGCTTTTCTTCCCTTGGCAATTGATTTTTTTTCTTTTTACAGATTTAAATTTTCATAGTACAACGTAATAAGAAATCCATTTTCTGTGTAAGTGCCTTGTGTCTGCAAAAAAGTTGTCTGAGAACACTGGAGGAAGATAATCAGTGACCTTTTTTCACCTCCTTTCTAGCTTATCCCCCTCCCTTTCCCCACAAAGCTGAGTGTCACTTCTGCATTGAGGCTGATGAAGAAACTTGAATATTCTCTGGAATGCTCAGCAGTGACAGAAGCAGTGCCACTGTCTCCTGAAGCTGATTCTGAGATACTCACATGCAGAGTACAACAGATGCTGGGAAGGACCTCTGCTTGCTATAGCTAAAGCTGCAGGTTTTCTTAAATCCAAGCCATGAATGAATCCAGGTGGACTGAATGGAGGATGCTGAACATGAGCAGTGGCATTGTGAATGTATCTGAGCATCACGCCTGCCCACTTGGATTTGGCCACTACAGTGCAGTGGATGTCTGCATTTTTGAGACAGTTGTTATTGTCTTGCTGACATTTCTTATTATTGCTGGGAATTTAACGGTCATCTTTGTCTTTCATTGTGCTCCACTCTTACACCATTATACTACCAGCTATTTCATTCAGACAATGGCCTATGCTGATCTTTTTGTTGGAGTCAGCTGCTTGGTTCCAACTCTCTCACTTCTCCACTACTCCACAGGTATCCACGAGTCATTGACTTGCCAGGTTTTTGGATATATCATCTCAGTTTTAAAAAGTGTTTCTATGGCATGTCTTGCTTGCATAAGTGTGGATCGCTATCTTGCAATAACCAAGCCTCTTTCCTACAATCAACTGGTCACCCCTTGTCGCCTGAGAATTTGCATTGCTTTAATCTGGATCTACTCCTGCCTAATTTTCTTGCCTTCCTTTTTTGGCTGGGGGAAACCTGGTTACCACGGTGACATTTTTGAATGGTGTGCCACCTCTTGGCTCACCAGTGCCTATTTTACTGGCTTTATTGTTTGTTTACTTTATGCTCCTGCTGCCTTTGTCGTCTGCTTCACTTACTTCCACATTTTCAAAATATGCCGGCAGCACACCAAAGAGATAAATGACCGGCGGGCACGATTCCCTAGCCATGAGGTGGATGCCTCCAGAGAGACTGGACACAGCCCTGACCGTCGCTATGCCATGGTTTTATTTCGGATAACCAGTGTATTTTACATGCTGTGGCTTCCCTATATCATTTACTTTCTTCTAGAAAGCTCCCGCATCTTGGACAATCCAACGCTGTCCTTCCTAACCACCTGGCTTGCTATAAGTAATAGTTTTTGTAACTGTGTGATATACAGCCTTTCCAACAGTGTTTTCCGGCTAGGCCTCCGAAGACTGTCTGAGACAATGTGCACATCTTGTATGTGTGTGAAGGATCATGAAGCACGGGACCCCAAACCTAGGAAACGGGCTAATTCCTGCTCCATTTGAAGAGAACTGCACAGCAAAACAAGTGCAATCAGACAGTTGATTTTTGGATCATATTTTTGATTCATCTGGAAATTTGCCTCTGGAGAAATACTTACTTGAATAGTTGAATATGAGCTGAAGGGACTAAAGGTTTCTTCCTTCCCCACCTCCCTTCATGGATAAAAAAGATTAAAGGAAGGAATGCATAGAGGGTAATCTCAAGAGATGATTTTAGTGTGTGAGTATAAATATGCAGTAATAGCAAAGATTAAGCACTGAGGGTAAAGAAGTATCTCAGATCTTCTACAGGACATGAGCAAAACCCCTTGGTGTTTCTCTGTCTCTTTCTGACTAAACTTTCTTTTTTGTCTGTGTCTGTCACTCTTTGTCTCTTTGTGGATTACTCTCTTTGTGTGTGCTGACATTATTACTTACATAAATTGCCCGTCATAGGAAAATGCTACATATTATATATGTGGCAAAGTATAATCTTTTGCACCATAGTGTGCTTTTAAAAACACTAATATGCAATCTATATGTGATCTTTCCGTGGAGGATGTATAGTAAACCTCATATTTTATTGCCTGTCACACAGCCCTTGTGCTTATTTTTATACTATCCACAGCATACATTTTCTGCCGTGAATAAAAAGAAACAGTATTTTTGTTTGTTCTGGATAAAATGATTATGCTTCCACTTCTAACAGACTTTTTTTTTTCCTCCTCATTTTTCTTGATCTCTTTACTTTGGTACCTTAATCCAGAAGTGTCTTAGCTAATTAAAGAACCTACTACATAGCTCAAGCATAATGTTAAATAATTTAGTCCTTCCAACAAAATAGTCTATAGCCTGTTTCAGGAGTCGTGTTAAATATTTTTAATGTCTTTTGAAACATTTTTATCTGGTTCCACTTAAGTTAGTTCATGTGCCCAAAATAGGTTTTTGTTTTGTTATAGTAACAAAATAGTGTTGTTTCTCTTTAAGAACTCCACAAATAATTTAAGGTGGTTGCAAGGTACTTATCAGTAATGAAGTATTATTGCTCTTAAAGCTGCTTTGTGTGTGCATTTTTTTTTAAATATATAAGTAATATATTAACCATTTTGTGTTAGGTTCTCAAAACTTACTGTTATCTTCACTGATCATTTGCGTGATATCATTTGCATATACTATATTTTTTACAACAAAAAATGTAAATTATGTGATCTGTGCCTAATGTTTTCTTAGCACCTTATATAGATCAATGTTGCTTAAGTTATCAACATTGGAAAAAATATACAAAAACTTCTTTTAAGAGAAAAATACTTTTGTGCAGTTATTATTTAGATATTTATATTAGACCAAGCTGCATTCTTAGTTCTGCTGAGAGTAGACTTAACTATTAAGTACAGGTGAGAACTGTCAGTATTTTCTTTTGTAATGATATGTTTTCAGATTTAGAGATTATATTAACTTTTTTAGTGTGCTATATGAAATTGTCCAATTGTCAGGGGTTTAGATATAGTAAATTGGCATTTTGGGACTAGTAGTAAAACATGTGAGTGGTGAAACATCTAAATCTTACTTTTTTACCATAAATTTCCTGCCTGAAAGATTTAAAAATTTATATAAAACTACTATTTTACTTCTCAGTATTTTTGATTTCTTTGTTTTATGAATTGCATTTAATGAAATGTGCCTATGACTCTTCAAATTGGAAGCCGACCATGTTTGCACACTGGTGGTTTAACTTTAGAAGACCTTTGTTAGAAATGTTAGTTATCCTTTTATTGAAGTTGTTCTAAACCCTTGTATGTTTTTAAACATGTAAGATAGGTTTAAAATAAAGAATAAAACAGTAATCTATCTATCAAAATCAGAGTTTGCTTCAGTTTTATGAAATGTTTACTTAGAACAAGAGCTTACTATTTTGGGGATCAAATTTTAATTGTTTTTGTATTTCTGTGGTTTATTTTTTCTTGTCTCACTTAACCAAGTGAGATTTTGGTTAAGTTGAAATTTTAAGTTTAGAGCAGTAAAGGAAACAATATTACTAATTTTTCAGTTCTCATAAATAGAACCTTTAACATTATGCATACTGTTTGTGAATCAGATTTGATTCCTTTAGTATGGAGTATACATACAGTTAGAGATAACCCAGTGTAATGTACAGAAAACCTGAAGCTATGTTTATATACTTTGTTTGACTTTTCCTCAGAATAATTAATAACAGCAGTTATATACAGGCACTATGTTAAGTTTTATATTTAACCTTTAATCTTCACACAACCCTTTGAGTTAGTTCTGTTATTATTCCATTGTAGAGATTAGGAAACTAAAGAAAAGTGATGTATCCAAAACCATTCAGTCAGTGATAAAGTTTCATTCATAGTCAGCTGGCTTGGAGCCAAAGTCTATACTTATAACTACTATGTGGTTTTGCCCAAAATATTCAGACTTGTATCTTTGTACCTTTTTCTGAGGAAATTTAAGATTTTCCTTATCTTACCTGCATCTTTTGCTTCAGTTCTTTCCTTATGTTGCGATATCTTTATCCTTGAATCTTTTTTTTTAAAATATTTATTTATTTTGTGCATACAGAACTGGGGTACAGGCCAGAGGCTCAGGGGCGGCGAGAGGTTTCGCCATAGACAGAGTGGGGAGCAGAACAGGCAGATCAACAAAGTACACTGCTGAGGGGAGCAGCGGGTGGGTCAGGAGAGGTCTGCCACGCCATGTGGTTACCTCCCGGGCAGGTGGGAATCGAACTCATGCTGAAGTGGCTTTAGCTTCTCAGTGCTGTGCTTTAATCCGCGGCGCCACCAGGGAGGGCCCTATCCTTGAATCTTTTAAGCGCGTTTATTAAAACAGTAATCTGAGAAGTACAAACTTCCTAGTTTATTTTGTAATCAAATTGAAACCCTGGGACATGGCATTTCCTTGATTATTAATTTTGCTCATTTATTAAGTTTTCATTTTCAAATCTCTAAATTTCTTGTTGAAAAAAAACTTATTTGAAGGAGTGAAGACAATCAAATGAAAGGGGAGTCTTTATGAGCCATGTTTAGTTTACTTTATTCATTATAATGTTTATTGTACAACTCTGGGACAAACCACCTAACTTTTTTTTTATGACATTTTAATTTGCGTTTATATAATAAGATAATACTTATTTTGAAAATGCTCTGTCTTGTTTAGATTAATGTGTTTAAGTGCAGAAAGTATGACCATTATTCTCCTCATTTTATTGTTTTTCTTTGATTATTATCCAATTTAGTTATAAATGACAGTCAAACAATAACACTGCATATTGTTACTACAGCTTTTTTAGCTGCAGATTTCTTTCTGAGGTTATATAATTTTGGAAAGCTTTATAACCTACTGGTGTTTGAAACCTGGATTGAAATTCTGGCCCTCATAAACTGTTTGGCCCTAGGAAAATACTGAATGTTCCAAATACTCAATTTTCTCATCAGTAAAATACAGAGAGTTGTATCTTCCAATTAGGCAGTATCTGAGGACTACTCCTGACAATAGAAACTATGCATAATGTGATGCTTGCTGTTTCTCATAGTAACATTGTAAATTATTTACAGTATGTAAATAAATAGTATGTAATATTATTTACCATCACCATTTAAAGATTACTAATTCAAATTTAAGAAAACTTTTTAAAACAGAGTTAATTGAGATAGGGATGATTTTAAGAGCAGTCTACCTCCTAACTTTAGTGTATTATTAAACATCTTTTTCCCCCCATCAGATTATCTGTCGTAGAAAAGATGGTTCAGGAATGTCTTGCCAGCTTTTTTTTCCCCCCTGCATTTTGGTTTTCCTCATTTCTCTGGAATGCAATTTAAAGCATTTTGCCATATGCTTATAACTTGGGGAACACACAACTTAATAAACAAATACAACGTATCATTAGTTATATGTGTTTAGAAATTCTGAAGTTCTTACTACCTTAAAGGACTTGACTTTTCTCTGCCTACCCTGGAAGCTAATGATTACATGCGGCAAAGATATACATAAATAATAGACAGATCAAGCAGGATAAGATGTGGGGAACTTGGTGTGACATGGTGAGTACAGCCTAGTATTCAGGTAGAACCATTCTAATGCACAAGAGCATGTGTTGCTCAATCAGTGCTGTATTCTAATGCATAGGTTCCAACAGGTGCTCTTTCCTCTCAACAAAACTTTAGGAATAAGAAGTATTGGTAAAAATGTAGTGGCACTCTCTATAATCAACTGTAAAGTATAGACATTGAGGAAAACAAAATAACTATGGAAGGAAAAATAATTCTCTTTTCAGTGTTTTTGTAAATCTAAGTTTAGACAGTACTGGTTTTTAAATAT